CTCTTGCATTTTGGTACCAACCACCATTAGCAAAAAATGACACAGAACATGGATGTTGTGTGCTCTAACCGTGTTATGAGGGTTTAGAACAGTGGTATTTTTTATTCAGAGCTGCTGTTTATTTTGGCTAGTAAATCAAATGTCCCATTTAGAATCCCTTGGGATGTTTGTCATAAATAAGACAGCGTTCAGGATTTTATTTCAAGTTAAGATGAGAAATACTGTTAAAGCACAATAGAATACATTAGGAAAAAATAACACTTCACGAACAAAGGGAAACATGAAACACCATTGCAGCATGCCACTGGGCTCATCTCACTCACAGAAATAGTCCACTCATCTCTTTCAGTGCCTTTTTATGGGGAAAGAAAAAAGGAGGCTTTTGGTTGGTTAGTTAGTTTGGTTTGCCAGCCACTCAGGATTAATACAAAGTCCCAACACTGCTTGGATTTACTGCCAGTGCCTGCAGTAAAATATGAAGTGTCAAAGCCAACAAGTCTATGCCTGCTGTTAACCTCTCTGGGTTTTCTAAATTAAAATTATTTGGCTCCACCATTTCATTTAATTAGGACTAGTCCAGGCCAGTGCACTAATGATTTTTAAAAGAAAGGGATGAGAAACTTTAGCATGGAGTTTGTCCAAGTGCAAAGAACATTTCAAAGAAGTCAAGGATAATCAGACACCATGGTTAGAAAATTGCTTGCTGTTATCATGCACAAAATCCTCATACTCAGCAATACCTTTTTTTGTTCAAAGCAGGTTGATTTTACAGTAGATACCTGTCACATAGCAACAGAACATTAATAAAATATTTATATTAATATTTATATTATTTATGTTAAACTCCCATGTTTAGAAGCTTTTAATGGAAAAAACAATTACTGCTTTTTAAAAATAATAAATAATATTGACTTTTTTCTTTACATTAAAAAAATCTGTACATGATTACACAATGTAACAAAATACATTTCTGTTTTCCAGGCTAAGGCCATCATCTTTGGGTTAGATCTTCATGTAAGGAGGTTACAGGCCCATGGTTTCGAATTTGTGTATTTCCCACTGCACAAAAATCAGACTCCCAGGGTACATCTACACATCAGGGCTAAAGTCAAATTAAGCTATGCAATTTCAGCTATGTCAATTGTATAGCTTAAGTCAAAATAGTTTAATTTGGCTTTTGGCTCTGTATTCATAGCAGGAAGTTGAAAGAAGAACACTTTTCCTTCAACTTCCCTTACTCCTCATGAAATGAGGTTTACCATGAGTCGGAGTAAGAAATCCTCCAGCTAGACATTATTTCAAAATAAAGTCTTGTAGTGTAAATGCACACTATGTTATTTCGGAATAATGTTTGTTATTAGCTGTTGTGTAGACATACCCCCCAGGGTTCCTAGATCTACGCGTTGCCTGTCATTTACATGCAAAGAAGGAATCTGCTTACAAGGAATGTACTGTAGTAATATCTGCATGCAGGAAATAGCTAGGGTATGAGATTATTTTAAAAGGACAAGTGCATAGGGCAACAACATTTGAAAGTACTGAAGCTTTTTTTTTTTAATTCTTATAACTGAAACACCCAAGTGTTTGTCTTCCAATTGTAGCTAGAAAAGTTCTTTAGATGGCATATATTTATCAACATGGCACTTAGTGAGCTATTACAGACTGATATTCCCTAAGGACTATGTCTCTTAACCAACATACCTTTTATAGACGGGATGCCCAAAGTTTGCCCAAATAAGGACAATTGCATCTAATAGGTAGAAAATGTGACCAACTGAGACTACTGTCTTCTGGCTCATACCGAGCTGTGCTTGCTGGGACATGCCGTTTCTGCGGGACATGTCTCCATATCAAAGATGGTATGGCCCTGTAGGCTGCATTTTAGATGCTAATGGGCTATTTTTGCACTCTGGCTCTTTTTCCAGAGGTGTTGGTCATGCGTCTCACTGGAAAAATGTATTCTAGGAAACACTGGATGGGAGGAACTGTCAGCTCACAACGACAGGTCTCACTATGACAGATAACTTAGACTAGGAAGAATTCCTCTTCTTTTCAGACAGAAAGCACTAGCACTACCTCTCCTGACAGCACCAAGTCCTTGAGCAGACAAAGGAAGCAATTACTGTTATAGCTTCAAGTCAGACTCTGAAATCTTTAAGATCACAATATTGTTGCCACAAAACAAAGAGGCGGCATGCAGCAAAAAATGGCATCTGGGAGAAAACTAGAAGTCTCTGTGCGGGTGGGTGTGCACGAGGACTTGTGTGTGCATGTGCTTTTTTACAGGGATGAAAGTTTGCACACCTCTGTAAAGCACTGACATTAAGGCTCTGCTGCATCGATGAAGTCCAGACATTCTCCTGCAGCAACAGGGAGATCTTCTCAGTTGTTCTGCACACTGCGTTCCCTACTCAGCCTCAGCTGCTGTCACCCCAGTCATGCTGTTTGCCATTCCTATCAAATCAATAGCGAAAGCCCCATGGAAATGCAGACAAGTGAGTTTGCATTTGAGCCCCACTGCACCAAAATCACATGGCAATGCAAGTGTGCAGTTCTGCTTCCAGGATCTTCATTAGAAACAGGACTCCTGGGATTCTGGGTCATTGTGGATGGGAAGCTTGTCATGTTCCTGGTGATGTCCATTATGTAAAACTGTGTACCTAAGAGGGGAAAGCAAAACAGAAAGCAGTTATTAGGGCAAATTTAAAAGGGAGGCAGAGTCTTTTCTTTGTTCTGGGGAGTCTTGAGACCGAGGCAGGGGACTGCAGAGTGCTCCCAATGTCCAGGTTCACTGCTCCACCTGTCAAGTGAGATGTAAATTCAAACTTTGTTCACGATGGGAGAAGATGTCCGTGTCCACAATATGATCCCTGTCCCTGCAAATGGAATCGGGTCCATGCAGAGCTGAGCTATGCTAAGTACCCACAAGAAACAAACTAGAAAATTAGAAGACAAAGGATCCTGGAGTGGATGTTGGTAACTGAGCTGTCAACACAGAACTGAATCTTTTTAAAGCCAGAATTAAAGTATCACTTTGCTTTGGCCTGGAATGCATGTGCCTTTTCGAGTGACACAGAGACCTGTCCTCTGAGTCATGTGAACCAGACAGTAAAACAACTGAGATCTAGTAATCTCCATTCTCGCGTACAACTGTATTCAGTACTGATTGTTTCATGTTCAATCAAACCATTGCCAGCCAAGAATCCAGCCCTCTGGGGACTCCTGAAATACACACCTGGCCTTGACTGAAAAACGAGAGCATTCTGAATGTTAAACACTGCTTAATAGTCACAAATTATTGATTTCCTGGGCTCTAACTGAAGCAGCTGTGAATGAAGGCTGGGGTAAGGCAAGGGCCTCCACCTCTGAGTCTTATCCCACTGCCTCTACTATCAGGCAGTCTCTTGCTGCCCTCCTCCAAACAGCTTTAGGTACAGCAAGCTGCATTGCTGGCTTAGGCTGGCATAGACATGCAGCTCTGTTTTCTGTCTCTAGTACAAAGGGGGAGAGGGAGAAATGCTCTCTGCTGAAGCAATTAATTACAGTGACTCCACCCCTGCAACCCCGTGAGGTCAAAGCCGTTCAGCTCCCCAGGTGGATCCAACAAGCGGAGGCTCCTTCAAAAATGCCAGAATGGGAGATGAGTTCTTTTGGGAATTTATCTACAGCTGGGTTCTTCATAGACCTGATTCTAGGGGTTGTGACAGGGCCTTTGTGCTGCTTTGTAAACCCAGCTGAATGGATTACCCTTGATGTCCAGTGGCGTAAGGGAACCTACAGGTGGCATAGAGCTAGCCTAGAGGCTCTTGTGGGAGAAAAATCAAATAACTCCAATTGTGTCTAAGGGGGGACTGTGCAGGAAATCAAAACTCTCTAAAAGAAAACTCCTGCAAGGGTTAAAAGTTTTCCAGACCTCTCTCCCTGTTACAGAGAGAAATGATCGCCATATTTGGGGTTGGGAAGGAATTTTCCTCCAGGGTAGATTGGCAGAGGCCCTGGAGGTTTTTCGCCTTCCTCTGTAGCATGGGGTACAGATCACAGCTAGAGGATTCTCTGCATCTTGGGGCCTTCAAAGTATCTGAAGGCTTCAATATCTGAGATATAGGTGAGAGGATTATTCTAGGAGGGGGTGGGTGAGATTCTGTGGCCTGCACTGTGAAGGGAGTCAGACTAGATGATCATAATGGTCCTTTCTGACCTTAAAGTCTATGGCTGTGTCTACACTGGACCACTTATTTCAGAAAAGCAGCCTCTTTTCCAGAATAAGCTGCGAGCTGTCTCCACTGGCCGCTTGCTTTTCCGGAAAAGCAATGACGATCTACTGTAAAATTGTCAGTGTTTTTCTGGAAAAATTATGCTGCTTCCGTTCGAGCAAAAGTCCTTTTCCGTAAAAACTGTTCCAGAAAAGGGCCAGTGTAGACAGCACAGTAGTCTTTTCCGCAAAAAAGCCCCGATCACGAAAATGACGATCGGGGCTTTTTTCCGGAAAAGCGCATGAAAAGGGCATCTACATTGGCCATGGACGCTTTTCCGGAAAAAGTGCTTTTCGGTAAAAGCATCCTGCCAATGTAGACGCGCTTTTTCCGGAAATGCTTATAACGGAAAACTGTTCCGTTTTAAGCATTTCCGGAAAATCATGCCAGTGTAGACGTAGCCTCTGTCTAGACAGGCAAGCTTTTCCGCAAACAATACCCCTTTTGCCCACATGTGAAAGCATCCTTTATGTGTGGTTCTCCCAGGGGCCTAATTTGAAATGGACGAGATGCCGGGCCTCAAGCCAGCACAGCAGGCCCAGAAGTGCCAGGGTTCTGAAATGCCAAGCCCAAAGGTGCCGGAGCTCAGACCTGGCGCAATTTAGGCTCTGATTCTCCCCTCTTTTCTGTGGAAGGAGCGCTTAGCTGCTTCCATGCACTGTCCCAACATCATGACCATGTTAGCCTAATGATTTAAGCCTCACAAGTGCTGTAAGTTTTTAGACTCAGATGGGGAAAATGGAGCACAGAAAGTGAAGTGAATTGCCCAGAGTCACTAAGGGCATGTCTACACAGCAGGGCTAAAGTCAGAATAAGCTACACAACTTGAGCTACGTCAATTGCATAGCTTACATTGAAAAAGATTAAATGTAACTTTGATATGTTAAAAAAAACAATCAACAACTAAACTGTCTGAACATACTGTATAAAGGATCCCTGAAACTGTCTCTCAGGGCTGCTGCTGCTCTCACTCTGGTAGCTGTCAGCCTGCATGCATGCATAATACAGTTTTCCTTCTAGATTTCTCTCCTGTCTCACTGCTTTGACTTCCAGCCTCGGACCCTTCTGGGGACTCTGTACCCCAGGGGAGCGAGATTTCCCCTACACTCTATGACCATGGTCACCAACTGGTAAATCACGATCTACTGGTTGATCTCAGGGGCTCAATTAGTCGATCTTGTGCTCCCTCTGAAATGTGCATCTGTGCACAACAAATTTTACATCGGCACTCTTCATTTGCTGACCAGAACCACAGGTGAGTAGTTGTGGCAGTATGGTGGGATCTGCTGAGCAGCGTTTGGAGGGCTGAAACACCCTAGCCAGGGGGGCTGGATCAAAGAACGGCAGCTGTACAGCCAACTGGATGTGGCGTTCAGCCCGGGGAAGCTGTGCCGTGTTCCGGCTGGTCAGGCAGCTTCCTTTTTGCTCCAGCCCGACTAGAGCGAGGTGCAGTCTCCCTGGGCTGAGCACGGGGCAGCTGGGCTGGAGCAAAGAGGAGCGGCTGCCCATCCAACTGGCAATGGCGGTCAACCCGAGTGCACCACACTCCACGTGGGCTGGAGCAGAGGGGAAGACGCCCGGCTAGCTGTTCAGCCAAAGCAGAGGCTGCGCCGCGTTCCAACCGGTCGGGCGGCATCCCCTCTGCTCCAGCTCATGTGGAGTGTGGTGCACCCAGGCTGAACGCCATGGCCACCTCCCCCCTCCTAGAATAATCCTCTCACCTATCTCAGATATTGAAGCCTTCAAATACTTTGAAGACCCCAAGATGCAGAGAATCCTCCAGGTGTGATCTGTCCCCCATGCTACAGAGGAAGGCGAAAAACCTCCAGGGCCTCAGCCAATCTACCCTGGAGGAAAGTTCCTTCCCGACCCCAATATGGTGATCAGCTAACCCCTGAACATGTGGGCAAGACTCACCAGCCAGACACCCAGAAAGTTCTCTATAGTAACTCCTATCATCCCTCCATTGACTTATTTACCACTGATAATGAATGGTCAATTAGTTACCAAGATCATGTTATCTCATCAAACCATCCCCTTCATAAACCCATCTTTTGCCCCCACTACTTCCTTTGGAAGGCCGTTCCAGAACCTCACTCCTCTAATGGTTAGAAACCTTCGTCTAATCTCAAGTCTAACCTTCCTACTAGCCAGGTTATATCCATTTGTTCTTGTGTCTACATTGGTATTAAGCTTAAATAATTCGCCTCCCTCCCTGGTATTTATCCCTCTAATATATTTAAAGAGTGCAATCATGTCCCCCCTTAGCCTTCTTTTGGTTAAGGTAAACAAGACAAGCTCCTTGAGTCTCCTTTCATAAGACAGGTTTTCCATTCCTCGGATCATCCTAGTGGCCCTTCTTTGTACCTGTTCCAGTTTGAATTCATCCTTTTTAAACAAGGGAGACTCCTTGTTCTGCCATCCATCACTACTGAGAACAGCCTCTCTCCATCCTCTTTGGAACCACCCTTCAGGAAGTTGAAGGCTGCCATCAAATCCCCCCTCTACTCTACCCTTCTGCAGACTAAACAAACCCAAATCCGTCAGCCTCTCCTCATAGGTCATGAACTCCAGCCCCTTAATCATTTTGGTTTCCCTCCAATGGACCCTCTCCAATGCATCCACATCCCTTCAATAGTGGGGGGACCAGAACTGGACACAATACTCCAGATGTGGCTCACCAGAGCCGAATAAAGGGAAATAATCACTTCTCTGGATCTGCTGGCAAGGCTCCTCCTAATGCAACCTAATATGCCATTAGCCTTCTTGGCTACGAGGGCACACTGTTGACTCATATCCAGCTTCTCATCCACTGTAACCCCCAGGTCCTTTTCTGCAGAACTGCTGCTTAGACAGTTGGTCCCCAGCTTGGTCCCCATCACAATGCTTGGGATTCTTCCATGCCAAGTGCAGGACTCTACACTCTTCCTTGTTGAACCTCATCAGATTTCTTTTGGCCCAATCCTCGAATCTGTCTAGGTCACTCTTGTTCCTACCCTTGCCCTCCAATGTATCTACTTCTCCCCCTATTTTAGTGTCATCTGTGAACTTGCTGAGGGTGCAATCCATCCCCTCATCCAGGTCATTAATAAATATGTTGAACAAAACCAGCTCCTCTAACTTACACTGGAAGAAAAACTAATTCTGCACTGGGCCCAAAATTAGGAACCTTAAAAAAAAAAAAAAAAAAAAAAAGGAGCGGAAAGCTACCTGTGTCTGCAGCTTTCAGTCTTAAACAACCAGAGCCCACAGTATCAAAGCCGGTGTCTCTGTTATGGCATTCACCTCCAAGGGCTTTGAGCTTGTCCACACCAACCCTTAATTCACACCAAATTGGAGTATAAATCTATCCTGCAATTGTTCACATGCACCATGTGTCTGTGTGGCTCCTGTGGCCAGGCCCTAAA